GCTGCTCCAAGCATATGGACCTGACGGGGGAGGTTTTGGGCTTCTGTCTTCACTGCTCTGTTTTGAGCTTTGTGGATCATAGAGCCTTTGCAACTAGGCATAAACAAGCAAGGAAATATAGATTCTCTCTAATTAATTGTAAATTGTCACCGCTTGAAGTGGGGATGTTGAGTGATGTGTGCATGTAGAGTGTGTGTTTGTGTTTTCATATATGAGAGAAAATAAGAGGGGAAAACAGAGGGGGAGACTGAATAATTTGACTTAACTTTCGTGCCTTATCAACAAGCCACTCTTCATGGTTTTTCCTTTGAAACTGCTGTTCCCCACTAAGGCCGAATAAATTAGAACTCTAAATAGGAATAATAATGAGAGCATACATTATTCCTGTTGTTGGTACTGGTTGATGTTGTTGTTGTTTGTGTCGGCAGGAAGGCTCAGATCTCCATATATGCAAAAAAAGGTAACTTCTCTGCATGTTTTATAAGTTTGGAGGATCATTTTAATGGTGACCCAAAAAGATGTCCTAGATATTTGGGGAACATCCTTTTGAAAAATTCCTGAAACTACAGACAGAGAGCACAGAAGGGAAGAGAGAGAGAGAGAGAGAGAGAGAGAGAGAGAGAAAAAAAGGGAGATGAGGGAGAGATGAGATGAAATAGAACTTCTTGTATTGTGAATGACATATCGTTTCAAACATTTCTCAGCTAAATAAATCAAACGACACAGTTCTCTTTTGACTACAAAAAGTAGGCTACTCAATATGTTTAGTCTTGAGACACAACACAGTTGTACGTTACATTAATAGCTTTGATGCCTCTGACAGGACCACTGCTGAGTGAGAGAGAGCGGTGATTATTGAAGATTATGGACATCCTCCTCATTATTAATGCCCATTTAAAGCTGCGAGCCCCCTCTGCTGGCCTCGGTCATTGACCTCAACCTCAAGAGCCTCTTACCCTTCCACCAGTTGTTTACCAGGCTCTTCCCACTGACATTTTAAATGCTTTTCCATTACTCTGGAAGCTCAAGTATCCTTTTGTGCAATTGACCCTTCATTGTCTAATGTAAACTCAAGAGGCAAATCTTCTTCCTGTAAATATTCCATTTCGTTATTACTGTTCCTAATTATTAGGGCAAGTGAGCTCCATTAAAAATCTCTGCTCCCCTCAGACACTGGCCCCCTCACCCTGAAAATGGACACTTGATTGCTGTATAGTGCTACATTTTTGTGCGTGTCTAGGTGAAGTGAAGGAAGGCATAAATGTTACGATAATTATGACAATTGTGCATGTTTTTCTTTATCATGAGACATTGCAAATCTTTTTGTCTTTTGACTTCCTTATAGCTGTTTTAAATCATATTATATTCAATGCACAACCATAACAGTAGGAAGGAAGGAGGGATGAATAACTGCAGGAAGGTTTTGTTTTCATAGAAAAAACTAGTGACTTGGATGAATTTTGAGCAGACTATTTCCTGATATTTTGAATAACTTTTATACAATTCTCTGTATTATGTTTATTTTTGGGTTTCTTTTTCAACAAATACAGTGTGTTCGTCGCATTGTTCTATTAGCTCTGGTTGATTGAACTTTATTCAAGTTTGTACCTTAAATAATGATCTAAACTTTAAAAATGACTATTTAATTTAGTTTTCTTCATAGAAATTAATGACATGCTGAAATACAGGCCAACTGTATACATTTTTAAAAAGTAAGACCAATTCACTTTAACTGTGTGTAATGTATGTAAAGATGCGCCATATTTTGGTGCTATGGATCAGTAGTTAGTGTATCGACAGTGGACCAGGGCAGGGTAGAGGTTAGTGTTGATTACTCACCTCAACCCCCACCCCTTTTCATGGAGAGCACATTTGAAATTCCAACAGTGACATGTGAAATACAGACAGCAACTCATATGGACTCACAGCACTGCAAAGGGTGCTGCTCCTCCCAGTCCTAAACATAGACCAGTCTAAGAAGCCACACAATCATGCACAAGTTTTACTTTCACCGTGATCATGCTAGCTTATCAAATAACATGCAATAAAGATGATCTTTAGACTGCTTTGGGGAGAGTGAGAAAGAATGGTTACTAAACAGAAAATACCATATATGATTTAATTTTTACATTTGTTTCTATGTTTTCTTTTGTCTGAATGAGACACATTTGTTTTACAGATCAAAGTAACAAGTAAACATGCAATTAGGAATCATCAAGATTTGTGTGTAAAACTCTCACTCACTTGAATTTGGTTTTCCAAGACTTATACAGTGTGTGTAGTAGTCAGTGATCATGAGTTTGCCTGTGATAGTATAAATATGTCAGAAATAAAATTAAATTAAAGAGGGTGAAGTGGCTTATATGTTTGTGTATGTAGACAATATACAGTATGCATCATTATACTAATCCCCCTCTCCAGCCAAGTCACAAGCCAAGTATGAAGTGCTCCTGCCTGGTAGCACAACGCACAATGTGAAGCTCATGTGACTGTATTAACCTTTCAGACCTAATCTCCTGTAGTCACGAATGAGAGAAAATGAGAGAAAGAGAAAAAGGGAGTGAGAGAGATCAGAACTAAGAGAGATTTCAAAAGAATGCGACAAAGTAAGCAAAGAAGAAAACAATTCAGATATGTTTTGTTGCTCCTCTGAAGCCCTCAAGTCTCAGTTTCTATCTATGGTTTGTTTTGAGAGCGAACAGAGACTCTTGATATGCAGAAGTGCAGATTTGGCGCTGAATTGTCAAGTAAAATCGAATTGAAGTAGAGATCACTGTGCAGCACCCCCTATGGCTTCAAAAGCAACACAAAGACCACAGAGAATAACACTGACATATTCGTATACAAACACTGACAGGAAAAAAAAGTCTCTATTTTTTCCGTTGTTAGTTTTATAGCTTGGAGCAGACTGTCAGTGTTCCTGCTGAGGAGTCAGCTAGACAATAAGCTTGTGGGTCAAGAAATATCATTGGTTCCATGCCACAGGTTTATAGTTTTGTCACGCTGGTCTTTTGGCATGAGAGTCAATGGAGCCTTTGGTCAGGATCAGCTGATTTCATTAAAAGGCGAAGCTACATTAAGGTTTCCCAGAAAGGCTAGTATTATCGGGCAGATCACAGGGCAGCAACGTATGATCTACCAAAGGCATATTATATTTCTCAAAGGGGAGAGGGGAAGTGAAGGGCACGAGATATCAGACATACTGTTTGTGTGGACAGAATTCTTTACCTGGAGGGAAAAGATTAGAATTTCACTTTTCAAACTGGCTTTTCTTGCAACAATGAAGTACATTTACTCAGTTTAAACTAAACCACACAATCCTTATATCCCACTGACCCAGCCATCATTAATAATAAATGTATAATGGCTCTATTCATGTTGCCACAGCTGATGGTATGGCCGATTTAGCATGAAATTGTAAAGATAGATGGTGCAAAATGTATCAAACTATGACTCTATATCTTACTTGGCTGGGATGGTATGACCAAAGCAATGTTTATCAGGCATTTCTGATCCTCTGGTAACCTGGGGCAATTTCAACACCACAAGTTTCTCTTTAATCAGAAATTATGCTCCATTTTGAAACTAACCTGACTGACACAATGCCATTGTCTCAATATGTAATATATAATATGTTTTGTCAAATGACACTGAACAAGATAGAGCATCCGTGCTACTCTGTGAGGCTCAGCAATGTTTTGAGCTAAATGTAACATCAGCATGCCAACGACAATACTAACATGCTGTATAATATTTACCATCTTAGTTTAGCGTGTTAGCATGCTAACACTTGCTAATTAGAACGGAAAACAAAATACAGTTAAGGCGGATCGGAATGTCAGTTTTGTCGGTATTTGGGCATAAAACAAAATGCTGGACAAATTAAAATTTTTGACCTGGTGATGGCGCTAGATGAAAAGTTAAAACATTAATCCCATAGTTGAGATAGTTCAGTCCTGGGCAATGTGGTGGCAGACAACCTTCTCCGCAACACACCAGCCCATTACCTACACTGTATTTATACAGCACTAAGTTTGTTTGATCATTAATTTTCTCATATTTTCCAATGTCAATGGCCACACTTAACACAAAACACAGATGCTCAACCTCATACCCGGCTGCATCCACAGAGACAATTTAAACATTTCCAAGTGTTTCTTGTGTACAGTGGGGACGTCTCAATGATGCTAACCTGGATTCGAATATAAATAAACTGCTGCACAAAAACTCAACCGGGGACTTTTCATTGCCTCCAGCAATTCACTGTGGCTGACACTGTATAGTTACAGATAGATCCCAATTAATGTAACACCTACTTCCAATTTCCGTGTATTCTACACTAACCATGCCATCGTAAGACTGAGCGGTGACACGCTAGACATCCATGGAACATAAACATTCTTTGTATTACATAACATGATAGACATGGGTGTCTTTATTAGATAACCTAACAGTTGAAAACCATGATGCATCACTATCACTGTTCCGTTCTAATCCTAGCTATGTGCACAAGACTGGTGACATAGAAGTACAGTGTATAGTGTAGTAGTCGGAAGAAAGGCCATAAAGTGATTAATAAAAATACTACACACTCACACACAAGGGAAGCCTTTACACATCTTATGTGGGAAAACATTAACTCAAGAGAATTTTTCTTTTTGTCAGGTGAATTGTAGTATTATTATGCTCATTATTATGCTATTAACTTTTGCCTATTTTTTGCTACACTCCAATCTACTTTCTCTAGCTCTATGCCAAGCCCTAATGGTAGCATCACTCACACCCCAAACTCACAGCCCACCTTTAATTGCTCCTCCAGAGTTCATTGTGTGTGTGACATGCCGCCCAAGCTTCACCACAGCCCTTGTAAGAGTCTCAAAAGCATTTAACACTGAAGTGCTACTTTACCGCCACCCCCCCAAACTCCCAAAGAGACACCTGGTGGTACGAAGACACCTCAGGGTGGCAATATTTAACATGGCGATGTTCGTTTTTTCACCCTCCCTCCTTTCAGCGTCACCTGCTAACATTATCCTCCCTGCCCAGGCCCAATTTACTGTCCAACCATCCAGGTTCTACACACTCAGCATATGTCTTGTGGTGGTGTGCACACTCACATTTGACTTTTGAGCAAGATCGAAGAAACGTAAGGAAGTAAAGAGTGTTTTCCTGTGAGAGACTGGGATTTTTTTGGACTATATTTTTTTATGTTTTGTCTGACAACATGGAGTACTGCTTTTTGAAAGGATTCCTGGTGGTTTTGTTGATACAACAGTGCACGTCTGAAGGTAGGGTTGCATAAATTGGTTACATAATCTATGTGATAATATCTTTGTATTTTGATGAAAAGACCAACACCTGCACACTGACTCCAAACCACAGATTTATCCGATATTTCCAATAACCTTGCACCTACATGTAATGCACTTAAAACTGCGCTCCTTCTGTTCTTGTATTTGGAATAAATAAATAAATGAGTGAATGAATGTATTATTGAGTAAAGGAACACAGGAAGAAATACAAATGCATGAATGCATTAATGACATAATAAATCAATCAAGTAATTTGCAGTGCAGACAACATTATAATTAAGCATGCCATAACTACAGTCCAACGATCTTTGAGTGGTCAACTTTCCTTCATCATCCGTATCAATGCAACACACAACACCATTGATTATACTCCAGGTTTATCTGGTGTTTGCAGCTGCAACAAAACAATAGCAATATTTGATACGGTCTCCTTAAGTCTGTCTACCTCCTTCCAATCCTCCACAGTAGTCAACCTCCAAGATGACCAGGTCTTAACCCACGAACCAGAGCTGATCCCTGCAGAGGTGGTGCCCGTGGTGGCTCCCCCCAGCTTGAAGGAGGTTCAGCAGGCTGTGCAGGAGGCCTCGGAGCAGGTGGAGGGTCGTGGGGCAGAGGAAGTGCTGAAGGAGCTACTGGAGAGGGTTGTGGAAGCAGCTCTGGGGCAGGTGGAAGGAGGAGGTGAAGCGAAAGCAGATGAGGCAGCAGAGCAGGACACAGTTGAGGAGGATGCACTGGGGGCTAAAAAAGCAGAGTCTGAAAGTCACACAGAGGCAAAGGTGTTGGAGCAGGCAGTGGAGGAGAAGGTGGAGGAAGATGTGGGCGCCAAGGGGGTAGATACTGGTGTTGAAGAGAAGAAGGAGGTAGCACAGGTGGATACATTTCAAGATGTAGCTGAAGTGGGGGAAGGAGTTGTTGAGGAGGAGGATGAGACTGCTGCCGGATCTGTGGAAGAGACCACAGCAGGTGTAGAAACTGGAGGCAAAGAAGCAGAGGAAGTGGAGGTTATAGATGAGTCTCTAGACACTGAAGTCAGTCATGAGGTTGTAGGGGAAAATGTAACTGCTTTAAAAGAGACTGGAGGGCATTTAGCAGTAGAGGAGGCAGGGGTGGAGGACAACAGGGAGGTTGAGTTGTCAGAAGAAAAAGGAGCAGCTGAAACAGACACACAGGAGATTGAAGAAACAGTAGTGGGTGGAGAGCCAGAGCAAGAGACAGTGGTAGAGTCTGACCCTAGTCTGGTGGCGGATGATGTGGAAAAGATAGGGGATGTATGGGGGAAGGACGAAGCTCTGGAGGAAGAAACTCAGGTAGATGAAATGGAAGGTGAGGTGATGGTACCGCCTTCTAATAATTATGAGACCACACAAACTGTAGTAGGAGAGCAAGTAGAAGAGGAGGAAGAGGTAAACACAGTGAAGGACGATGGGGGACCAGAAGTAAAGGATGGCCATTTAGCGGTGGAGGGAGGAGCTGGTGAAGAGTTAGAAGCAGAGGGTGGAGAAGTGGGGGAAGCAGAAGGGGGTGGGATACACGGAGAGAGTGCAATCAAGGAGGAATCAGTGGCATTGGTAAATGAGGGGTTGGGTGACCAGCAAGCAGGAGAAGAGGAGCAGATTGCTTTGGAGACCTCACATGGCAGTGAGAAAGAGGATCAAGGTGAGAAATGGTGCAAACATGTGTTCATTTCATTAATGAGCTCCATATGTTGGCTGCCCCATTCACTTTACTTTTAGTACATCCTTATCTAATGACTATCTGAAACGTTGAATATGTAAAACCTGCAAAACTGCAACAGTATTTATCTTTAAATATCCCTGCCAGACATGTATTACAATCAGATTTTCAATGAGCGCAGGGAAACTTTCCACTTTCAGCAGATAAATATCATTCTGCACAGTGAAGCTCAAACACCCAACTGTAGGAACATAGGAAGTGGAGGGTGGCTTTAAACATTCAGTTACATTAGACTCAGCAGCTTTGGTTAAGCTTGCATTGTTTGCATCTTAACCTACTTTAAGAGAGGAAAGCTCTTAAATGAAGATTATAAGCCCCTTAAATACACTTTACAATAATATTGGTTGCCAGCCTATGTCCTGAAAAACTAAGGCAAAGATCATTAGCTGCTCTGGTTTTAGCTGTGCATTTTAGTTGGAGGTTTTTGAAATGTTTTCAACAAGCTTTTGGTAGAAAGCACTTGAGAAAATGTTTACTCAGAATATCTTGACAGGAACATTAATCATTTATCAGACGAAACTTATAAAATTCTTCTAAAAAGCCCAATGTTTATTGTGACATATGCAAAGACTGATAGGTCAGATGCTCATGCAAAGATGCAGTGATACTGTTACAAAGTATGCATTAGCTTACAAATGCATACAAATCATGACCACCCTGCTACTCTCAGCTGCAGCACATCTATGTATTATTCTACATTCCATAAGTCCACTCGACAAACCCTAAACTGTGGCCTCTTGGCTTCATTTTCATGTGTGTGTCACATACCAAACCCCTCTCCTAGAAGTGCTGGTGATCTCTGCCCCAGGGACCGAAGATGTTGCTGACACCTCCATAGAACAGAGCTCTGAGAACCAGGTTCCCACTCCAAGCCCATCCCTAGGTGGGGTCGAGGCTGAAGGAAACACCCTTGGTGATGAGAAATCTAACCATGGCAACGAGATCATCACCCCTACTGATGACCTTTTGCCACATGACCCTGCTGTGGCCCAACCTACAATAGATAATTTTGTGAAGGATGTTCTAGCTGAACTCCCTCAGGCAGAAGGGGAGGAAACAGGGGAGGCCAAGGAGCGTTTGGAAGATACAGCTGGAACCACAGGTAAAATATATAATAATATAAAAAGTAATAATGAAATAATGAAATATTTATATATATATTTATATAATGATGAAAATATATCAAAATATTAAAGAAAATACAATATAATACAATTATCCTTGGGTCCATATGCACTCTTCTGGTTTTGATTAAATTACTTCTTCATGTCTCAATAAAGACAAAAATGAAGGGAACTGACCTTTAAAATAAAAATAATATATAGTTTTCAAGAGAGTCTTCATAACTGCATATCAGACTATAAATGGATTTGGGTATATATTACAGCAGATTTTCTGCAGCTTAAAACTTGGGTAGAATAAAAAGAAGAAAACAGATCATCATCGTCATTCTGCCAACAAAATATGCAGATGGCCAAGTTGATGTTGTTCCAATTGAATAAGCAGTGGAGCAGGCTAACTACACACACTGACTGGTGGGGGAAGACCAGAGAATTGTGACCATCTTGTCACAATATAATATGCTATTTTCTGCCTCATTTAAATGTATGAGAAGTATTAACTTTCTACTCTTTCTATGCCCCTATGCATCACACACACGCCCCTTTGAGCTAGGCAATTTAAACTGCTGGATGGTAGATTGTAAAAAAGGTATTTTCTTTTTTTTTCTGGGAAACTGTAATGTGATTTGAGTGTAAAATAGATGGGATGTCAGAGAACAGCATCCTTTATGGGCAGTTCAGGGACAGTTGATTTAGTTGTTCCAAAGCGTAGTGTATCAGATTTCTTGTTTTTGATGGATAAATGAGTGTATATTCACCTCTAAATTCGATGCCTCCCTCCTCTTCTGTCCTCCCTTTTTGCTCTCTCTGCCTTAATGTATCTGTTTAGAGACAAGTGAGCTGGGCCTGAAGGCTTGGAAGATTGGGGCTATTGCTGCTGCAGTCTTCCTGGTTTTGGAGACCATTGTGATCATTATCTATATACTCAAATGTCGTAACAAAAACAGGTAGGTAGCACTGGTTTCTGTGCACTTAATCTCCAGGAATAATCTTTCAAAAGAGTTGTGTTATAGCCCAAAATTGGACTGAAAGTACAGTCCAGATGTCTTTTACTTAATTCTGCTCTACTTCTTGCCAATATAATTTCCTGTAGCCTGCCATATATTGATATAATTTGGGACGGCTGAGCTAAATTGTACATCCAACAGCCTCATACAAAAATAGATTTCCATTACAACCCTAATCTTACCACAGTGTAGCATGATTTTTTGTTCTGGCTTTGTAAAACAGATTCTTTTCTTTTCTTAATTTTTTATGAATGGAAATTAAAATAATACTTAGTCTGCATTCACACAAGTACCAACCATATCCCAGTGCTTCTTCTGTAATAGCCGAAATAAGCCATCTGATTGCTAGTTGTAGTACCAACAGTGCTATAATCACAGATGGGACTTACAGCAGTGCTGGTACATGATTGCCTCTGATGTTGCCCAAGCTGCAGCTAACATTTCAACACTGATAGATGATGACATGAGGAGACTGTTCTCAGTATCTCACAAAAAGAGAATGGTCTTTCAGTAATATGAAGTATTAGTTTTTATATTATTTTTCCACATGGCCCAATGAGACATGTAGTTAATTTGTAGGAGGGCAACAGTCAGTAATAACAGTAATATCTGAGATTTTGTGTGTTTGTCTGTGTACATGTGTATGCAGTGCCCTGGCCCTACAACGGGCATGTGAGGAAGGATGTGTTGAACCAGAGGCAGCTACAGGAGGTGACTGCAGTGACGAGACACTTCCTGCAGGAAACGGGGACACTCAACAGTATGTTCACATGTAAACACCTATCTAACATCTAGAGGTTACCTAGGTAACTACATATGTATATTGATTCATACAGGTGGGTTATAAAGTAAAGGTCCAGTGTGTAACATTTAGGACAATCTATTGGCAGAAATTAAATATAATATTCATAGGTATGTTTTCATTAGTGTATAATAACCTGTTTTTATCTAGGGAGGGCGCGTGTCCTCTCCCACAGAGGCTGCCATGTTGAACAGCCATGTTTCTACAGCAGACCGGAACAGGACAAACCAAACACTGGCGTTTTTCGGGAGTTTCTCGGCCACCGTAGTTTCTCCTAACAGCCCGTTCACATTCCCAGGTCGTCAAATACAGAAGCGAGCTGCAATCTGCATCTTCACCTCTAGATGCCACTAAATCCTACACACTAGTCCTTTAAAGGGAAAAAAAATTGGGCTACCAATTTGTGCTCCTTGAGATAGATTTGGAGCTCTACTGGATTGCTGAATGCCATTCTTTCAAAAAATATTTATTAATTTGGTGATGATGGCAGTGAAGAGCACTGTCGAACACCCATTGCACCATGAATAGCAGCACTGGCTTTTTCTTTCCTTTTACAGGTGCTAAATAAAAAAATTTAAACTTAAGGTAGAAATCAGACAAAACATCTGCATACTGTGCTAATATCTCCCAATAAAGTTGATTAAGCAAAGACAATAATCTCATTGTCAGCCTTCACCTACCTTCATCACAGATTGAAGGACAAAGATCTCTAAACACTGCAATGTTATATTTATAGGGAGCAATAAATACAGTACTCAGGTCTTTTGTCTGCAGTTTCACGGTTTAATTTCAAGGTTGCCATGAGCTCACTGAGTACCTCTCTCTCTCTTACTTTCTCTCTCCCACATTCCTTCCAGTGTCTTATTTTCTGCTACCACCAAACTGACTTCTACAGTATCAGTCCCCTTGTCACTAACACTAGCCGGATGTCAGACTTGTCCATTGTCAGCCGACTAAATGTGGTGCACTGACCTGAAAACTTGCGGTTCATAGGAACCACCAGTTGTGTGCTTCTCAGCTGATTCCCTCCTGGCAGTTTTGCAAGCTATGCGCTCAGGAGGCTGCTCACTGGGTCACATGAGAGTGTGAGTCCTGTGAACCCAAAGCATTACTGGGTAATGCCACTATTTTTCTTAATCAGACTAGCAGGCTTGGATCAATAATAAGCCAAAAGTGTGTGTGCGTGAGGAATGACCCTTTGAAAGTATGGGGTGAGGATGTGTGTTAAAAAAGAGAAAAAACAAGACAGAAGTCTTGAAGATAGGACAATCTCTGTATAGAAACAAAATGAATGTACACACTTCAAGCTGTGTGTATGTAATCCTATGAGTGCATATCTGTTCCTTATGCAAGTGGAAGTGTGCAAAACAGAAATCTGGTGTGTGCCTAGCACAGACCATAACAAAGCAAAACTGAATTATTAAACAGTCGAAAGAGTCATCTTGAAATGTGTCCTTGTTAAGAGACTTTATAGCAGCGGTGACAATCCAGTTGTCGTTGGAAGAGGGAATCACTAAAAACACCGCCAACAACCACCAGAAGTCACTTTTAGAGTACAAGCTAAAAGTCACTTTTTTCAGCAGCAGTATCATCTCATCAATAAAGGCACCAAGTGCCAAATACAAGGGTGCCAGAGGCCATGGTGCAAAGCAAGCAAATTCAGTAAGTGTAGATGAACTGTGGAAGCCATGAGAAAAGCCTTTTGGAGATAATTTTGGAACAGCAGGTAAATGGTTGCAATAGACAGCCCTTCCAGGAAGTTGTAATCGCAACAATTTACACAAATTCAACCACCATGAATTCTGCATGACCTTGCAGTTTTTTTTCAATCACCACAACTTTTTTGCAAATTTGACCAATCATAGCAGTCCCTTACGCAAAACGTTAAGGCATAAGTCATCAAACTACTAAAGATTTTATCCTCAATGGAACAAGCTAACAAAAAAAAAAAAAAAAGGTTCTCCCACAATTACAATGTAAAAAAAGTGCCTAAAAACATCACAGCATGCACCACAATTTTTTAAGAAAAGCTCCAGTAAGGGACTGAATAGAACCTAAGTAATAATATGCCCTACTCAGAATTATATCAAACTTTATAGTAAAAAATAGTGGGTTTGCAATCACAAGGAAGGACTGCATGTGACTTTGACTGGTCTACAATCCTGAGGCATACCAGCTGAACTTGTATTCTAGCAGCTGTTGAACAAGCCTTCCTTTATTTCTCCTTAAAACTTAGCATCATACATTACTTATTTAGAAAGCAGGAGGGCAGGGTTCGTGTTAGCAAAACATTTGAAATGAAAAGTATTTGCCTTTAAGCAGAACTAATAAAGACAAGCAAGCTGCCTAAGTTCCTTTAACAAAAAAGTCTGAATCTCCTAAAATAAATTATTATATAAAATGCTTAGTACTTTGGCAGGACCCCTGAGGTTCGGGCAGGTAGCAGAATTCTATTGTGCACCATGGCAGATTACAGCTGAGGCTTTTATGAATGACAGCACAGCATTCTGGATGAGATACAGCCCTTCAGCATACATGCTTTATACATCTGGAATGACACTTATGACTGCGGTTTGGATACCCTTGAGGGTTAATCGACTAGGACATGTTAAAACGCACGCAGCACTTTTAGAAATTCTTTCATCCCGGACACCATCGCCTGCAATTAGTCAATAATGTCAAGTGATCTATTTATATCTGGGTGTGTCATTACCTCCCAGCATATCTCCTTCTCCTACCACAGTTTGTACGCTTCTCCATCTGGTGTGGAAGTCATTAAATAAACAGACCTTGCAGTGAAAATATTCAAATTTACTCGCAGCGCCATATTCAACAGCAGTTCAAAAGCCATTATGAACACATAAAAATTAAGTTGTGTTTAAATATTACTGGTGCCCCAAGTGTCCTATCAGAATCAGTCTGTTTTTGTTTTCATGTAAAGCAAAGCAGATTTCATCCTCATTTGTATCGAATAGCCTCTACTGCGTGTACTCTGACAGTGATTATTTCTCAGCCGTGCCTTTTCCCTTTCTGCAATTTATCCATTACAACTGTTAAATGATTCCCAACTGCCCTAATGTCCTCTCTACCAGGAAAGCAGCACTTGACCCATCTGATGTGGCTTCAACCCTGGCCCAAAACAAAGAGCAGCATGAAGAGGAGCATGCGATAGCCATGTCTGACCTCCCGCCCACCTCCACAGAGGAGTCGGCCAACACTGGACCAGGACCAGACTCCTCACAAGACCTCAGGACTTCCATTCTCTAGGGTGCCCAACTGTTTTGTCAGTTCCTGCTGTATCTAAATAAACCCCCCAAAAGCCACTGTCCATCCCTGCACCCAATCCAAATCTACCTAATGAATTACCCTAAATTCTTGAACCCTAACCAACCCAACACAGACTGCCTTGGATTCTGACTGTAATAACTACTGTATATGTAACACATTTGTATTTGGTGTTTATGACTGTGTGTATGTCTGTGTGAGTGTAAATTGAAAGAAAGAGATGCTGTAACACATTTGGCATGTGTGAATACGTGGATGTAGGGGTGTGCATTGACAGATGAGCACACTTATGAATAAATGAATAGAAAGAGCATGTTTTAAAATACTTTGAGCATGTATGTGAGTGTGTGTGCAAATGTGGTAAAATTGTTGTGAATCTAGATGTCTGTAAGCTCTTTAGGCTACAATCAAATTGTTAAGAAAGGTTTTTACATACTGACCACATCAGTCATGCTGTACAAAGCTGTTGAACACAAAAGGTTTGAAATGTGTTCTTGTTTCCCTGTTTTATCAGCAATTCAGTTCTACTTATTCATAAAGTGCTTTGGAGGTATCATACCATAATACACAGTTTCATTAAAAAGTACAACACTAGCCTACAAGAAAAAAATATTTTGTTATTGAGATGAAGTTGATTTAATTTTTATTCAATGTAACTCCTGACTTTTGTTTCGTCATTTATGATTTGAGCAGTACCAAATTAAAATGATAATGTTGAATTTGTGCTTTTGTTCTTGCCTCCCAGTATGGATCTTTCTGTTCTTCCTCTGCAGGGCACGTTTTCAAAATTTGGATTATTTGAGCAGACAAATTAAGTAATTAGACAGAAAATGACTCATTTTTGCTCAGAAAAATATAAAAAAATCCCCCCCTCCCCACAGACACCTGGCTGTCTCTGCAGATAACAAACTATTACCATGCTGTTACTGGGCTGAAAGTGACTAAATCTCAAGTTTGACTTAAGCAGGAATTCTGTCTCACAGTTGATTCTTTTATTTAGTGAGTGACCACACATACTGGCGTCATTGGGGTTATGATCACAAGGCATATGAATGAGTGTTTGAGAAAGCACTTGAACCTTCAAGTGTACCCATGTGTACTGTGTGTCTACTGTGCTCAGTGCGTGTGTGTGCTTACACAAAGTCTGGTCATGCGCTTAATAGCTATTTAAGCCAGGAAATAGGAATGGGCCGACTCTTGGGGGGCTACAGTTCTGCAGACAGAAAGGAGCAGCATGCACAGTCAGAGGTAGGAAATACATTACACTGATGATTTTTCGCATAAGGAACTGTATATTGCAAGAAGCCTTACAACTTATCAGTGTGAATGTTTGCTTCAGCACCATTTACAAAATAGATAGATAGATAGATAGATAGATAGATAGATAGATAGATAGATAGATAGATAGATAGATAGATAGATAGATAGATAGATAGATAGATAGATAGATAGATAGATAGATAGATAGATAGATTCTTTATTTATCCCGAGGGAAATTCAAATGAAAAATGAAAGAGTACATGAGACTAATGTACAATTAAGCTATTGGCAAATAATGTGGATATGCAACAGAATGCCATATACCAGCCCATGTTGCACTAGCTGAGTATTATGATTGAGTCATGCATTCATCATTTATGATATGCAGTATCTATTCTAAAACACAAGTTTTTGTTTTTTAATTGGTAACTTTTCATGGGTGGTTGCTATCAATCTTTTGTTGTACAATAATTGCTCCTGACAAATTATCAGCCACTCCTCCATTCATCCCTCATCAACAAGCTTCAAAAGACAAGCAAATCTAACTCCAAAAAAGGTTAAAGCAAATCGCTTGCCGTCTATAGTTGAAAGTTGTTTCTGAACTTGCAAGAGTTGAAAACTAATGGCTTTGTAAATTATGAATAACGACTCGTGCTGCCTGCAGGGGCGTGTAAGAAGTGAAGTTTCGGAATAATGTTAAGACAATTGGCTTTAACAAGTGAACATAAACCAAGAGTGTTGTTCTTGAGATTAATTGAAGTGTATGTCTGCAGTGTATTGAATTTTTTGTCTTCATCTTACAAAATGTGTGCTGGGATATACTCAAGCCTCCTTACAACCCTGGACATAATAAGTAGTTTAGAAAGAGACTGATGGATGAATGTATCAATTCAATGTACAAGCAATTCTCAACATGTAAAATGTGACTCTCTCTGTTTCTTTACATTACTCTCCCATCTAACTCACTTCATTCCTTTCACATCCTTCTCTATGGATTTTGGTAGCATGTGGAGAGTGGGTCTCCTGGTGGTCACCCTGTGTGCCACCCTAACGCTGGCCCAGTTCCCCAGGGAGTGTGTGACCCCCGAGGGGCTGCAGAGTGGCCAGTGCTGCCCATCTCCTACAGGGGCGGCGGGGGATGAGTGTGGCTCAAGCACAGGAAGGGGACAGTGTGTGACCATCGCTGCAGACAACCGGCGCCACGGACCCCAGTACCCTTATGCTGGGCGTGATGACAGAGAGAGGTGGCCGCTGAGATTTTTCAACCGCACTTGTCAGTGTAATGGGAATTTCAGTGGCTACAACTGTGGGCGATGTCGACATGGGCTGACTGGACCAAATTGTGACCAGAGGATCTCTGTGGGTAAGAGAAGGGATGCTGTCTTAAATCTGCATTGATGACCTAAAAAGTTGCCAAAAAAGTGGATCTCAAAGAGGTTAATACATCAGTAAAGGGGATGAAGGCAGCATTTATTATTATGGGAAAGAAATGTCCATGTAAATTTTGAATAGCGTTTTTCTTTCCTCCTCTTTTCTTTCATTCCTCCTGTACCCCGACAACCCCTTATTCTCTCTCTTCCTGCCTTCCTGTCTTCCTCCACCCCATTAACCTCGCTCCAGTAAGGAGGAATATCATGCAGATGAGCTCAGCTGAGAAGCAGGCGTTTGTGAACGCTTTGGACCAAGCTAAGAGGACTGTCCACCCTGACCTGGTCATCTGTACACGACGGTACGTGCATAAGCATATATATTACAATATTACCCTAATGCTGTATGGGCTTCATTATAATAGAAAAATAATGGTAAACATATTTAACTGATTTAATTTCAAAGGAAGTCTGATCTTTACTCAGCTGCTCTTTGGTCTCGTATCAAGACTGAGGAACAGACAGTTTTGCCCAAGGACCTGCAGGCTCAGTCTCGCTGAGTCTGGCAGTTGAAAGTTAAGTAGTATAGCTATGGGTGAAACCATGCTGTGTTTTGAAAATTATCAGGAAAATCATAAAATTTCTCATGGCAGCTTTCTGTTTAAGCTGCAGGTGGAAAAACAAATTATCAGTTTAGACAGGAGTAAAGGGATTTATAATCTTCTAAGTAACTGTACATAAATCTGTGAATAACCTCCTTCCAAGTCAACTGAGGATTATAGTAGATTAATTTTTTAAGCAATTCTCAGCTGCAGGTAGAAGAACTCTTTTAACCTCTTAATAAAAAAATTAAATTTCTCCTGTATTAATGGCCAAGCCCGGGATCTTAGCTACAGGCCTTCTATTTAAAGTCACACTTGGAAGCTACGTGCAGAAATAAAATGTACACACAGAGTCTACCAATTTGTAGTTTAAAAAAGCATATAAAAGCATATAATATCACACATCACTGTTACTGCATTGAAAAAAAAGAGGATAAACAGAGCAGTGTGGAGGAATAAACAAAAGGTGACATTTATCCTGCTGCTCCCCTCATCTGTAGATACCAGGAGGTGTATGGACCCGATGGCAACACCCCGCAGTTTGAGAACATCACCGTTTACAACTACTTTGTTTGGAGCCACTACTACTCAGTCAGTAAAACCTACCTGGGGCCAGGCCAGACCAGCTTTGGCGGGGTAGACTTCTCCCACGAGGGCCCTGGCTTTGTCACCTGGCACCGTTTTCATCTACTGCAGCTAGAAAGAGACATGCAGGTGAGTAGAAGGAAGGAAAGGAGAGACAAGGAGGGGGATAGTGAAAAGGAAAGGGGGAAGCAGAGAAGAAGGCTTTTGGGCTGATTGAGTGAGGAAGCAGGAAGTGAGGATGGCAGAAGAGATGATAAGGCGACAGGGAGGGGAGCTTTTCTGGAGGACAAGGGGGGGGGAATGGTAAGAAAATGAGGCAAGTAGTGACAAAAATAAGGTGAATGAAAATGACATTCAGGAAAAATTGTATTCTTTACACATGCATGTATCTATTGATCCAGCCCTGAACACCTGCACTTATTCCATCTACTGTATGCAGGACATGCTGGGCAACCCTACCTTCGCCCTGCCCTACTGGAACTTTGCCATTGGAGGCAGCGAGTGTGACATCTGCACCGACGACCTTCTGGGAGCCAGGAGCTCCTTCGATATGAGCTCCATCAGCCCCAACTCTGTATTCTCCCAGTGGAGGGTCATCTGTGAGAGTGTGGACGACTATGACAATTTGGGCACCGTCTGCAACAGTAAGGACGGTTGCATAAACACACACTGAACTGCACTGTGCAGGGGAATGGTGTTGATACACAGCGTAGTCTCAGCTGCATCAGAAAAGAGGGCAAAGAGCTCATAAAGAGAGCATGTAGAACATAAGCTGCTATAAATAATACCTCACAGCTGTTGTGCTGCATTCGATATTGCTCGCTATTACCACAGTTTGTTTGAAACTCCTCGACTCGTTGAGCAACTTCTTCTGAGTTGCTTTGTGCATCCAAAGTACCGTACACTGCATCTTAAAACGCTAATTTTTTAAACTTTTTTTTTTATTCAGATAGCCTAATTTCTCTAAAGCAGACATCAGAACACACAGTAGCTTTTCAAGACTTAGTTCCCAATGGGTCAAGCGGTTTAAACCAGAATAAGGAGACTCTGTGTAACACTGTAATAAGCTGGACTTCATCAGATTTGCAGGGATTGGATCTCATTCCACACTGGCACCAGATTACAACCCCAACCTTTGCTTTAGTTTTCAAATACACTTAATTCGTACAATATTTTCCTTTCATCTGGTATTGTGGAATAATAGAATCAACCCTCTTTTACTGTAGTGCTTTACTACAAACACATTAAGAGGGGTCCTTTTTGAACAATTCCATATGTAAGAAAGGAATTTGGTAACAGGTAGAACATGTGAGTGGGCAACGTGTGAGTGATCTGTCTCATTAATCCCCTTAGAGTCATGACAGGTCTGGTATTTCCTGCGTCAACAAGCAACGTCTCCTTAAATGGGTTAGGGGGGTTGCCTCATTTGTGCATGTGCTTGTTGAAGACAGGAATCTAGCAGTCTACTGGTTCCTTTGATCTGAGGGAATAATCTTCAAACAGACAGACAACTCAGTTATGTAGCCTTCTGTTTATGCACTCGTATGTGTGTGTGTGTGTGTGTGTGTGTGTGTGTGTGTGTGTGACATGTGGGAGAGAAAGCACAAAAAGAAAGAAAAAAAGAGATCACGCATACAAGAGGGGAAAAAAAACTTCTGTTCTGTTACAGAGCTCTCACTCACGACTGTTGACTTTTAGTGAATTATTAAAAAAGAAAACTGCCATTCTGTCGTGTTTAAGACCGATCAAACTAGTCTAGACTCCCACATGTAATTAAATAATACAACATTTCTAATCATCTCTCTTTCCATTTCTGTGGGGACCACTGGCCTGTGTCTGAACTACAATTATCCAAAAACCTGCTCAAGTTATCTTTTCTCTGCAGAAGTAATTATATTTCACTTG